GTGGGTGGGTGGGTGGGTGGGTTTGGCCTTCCGATTCTCCATTCAGAGCTTGTGAGCAAGTTGCATAAATGAACGGTTGCAGCATTCTGTTTTTCTGGCATAACAACCAGTCACTTCTTTGCACGGCCAGCGATGGAACATCGTCAGCAACTTTCTGTAAGTAACTTCAGAGACAGCATGTGTGTGTGTGTGTGTAAGGGAGGGGAGGTGGGTGTGTGGGTGGATGGGTGCGTGCGTGCATGCGTGCGCCTGTCTTGTGTGTCTCTGTGTCTCTGTGTCTTTGTGTCTCTGTGTCTCTCTGTCGTCCGATCACGTCTATCTTTGGCTGCGCGTGCTCCCTGCATCCGCAAGAAAGAAGAAAAATGCGGGCGATGCAGTCATAGGTCCCCTAGACACAGAAGCAAACATCATGATTCAACTATGGGCCTTTCTGACCGGCTTGGGAGGCTCCGGCTCCTCTCCTGGCCAGAACAGTGGATGGGTGGTTGATTTCCACGCTTTGCTCCAACATCCACAATGGAGAAGTCTAGCAGTAGTAGCAGTAGGCGGGGTACTAGCGGTAGCGGTAGTGGGGGTTGTGGTGGTGGTGGTGGTGGTGGTGGTGGTGGTGGTGGTGGTGGTGGTGCTGGTGCTGGTGGTGGAGGTGCTGGTGCTGGTGCTGGTGCTGGTGCTGGTGCTGTTGCTGGTGCTGGTGCTGGTGCTGGTGCTGATGCTGGTGCTGGTACTGGTGCTGGTGCTGGTGCTGGTGCTGGTGCTGGTGCTGGCGCTGGCGCTGGCGCTGGTGGTGGCGGTGGTGGTGGTGGTGGTGGTGTACCAACCAGTGCAACGCATGTTTTCGCTTTTCGGAAGCTCGAACAAACCTGTCCGGCTCCTGCTGCTTTTTCGGTTGAAGCCTCCGTGGACGTCAGGGCAGGAGCTGTCGGCTCTACCTGAATCGGAAGCTTAAGGCGAGCATGAAAAGGACTCAGGACTCACTGTTCTGCAAGTGACAAAGCTTTCTGGAAGTCCTGGCTGCCGGTCTTCTCCTGCTTTGGGGAACATCTCGGCTTCTTCCAAGGAGATGCTGCAAGCTATTCTGCTCTTAGTCGGCACTTGAACAGCTACAGTATTCAGTTGTGGTTCCTGGACAGAAGCAATCGGAGGTGTAGTTTATGTGCTGCTGAACTGCTGAACGCCTATGGACTATGGACGTGGAGCTGCTTTGCTCAGATAAATCAGGACCAATACTAAGGCTGTCCTGGAGCATCTGTCAAGGCAGGCGCAGTGCGTGCCGACTCTCTGGTTTGTACAGCCTCGTGGGGGCAAATTCGCCTAAAGCACGTATGCTGTACTTTACAAAGCACACCTCAGCCATCATGCATGCATAAGGCATAAGGAAGTTCACGTGCCTGCTCTCTGACTGCAACCATTTCGACCACCTAAGCTTGTTGCCCTTGTCCACCAAAAGCTCTTCAGCAACTTGAAAGGACAGGTGAACTTATGCACTTACGAGGTCCAAACATCGTTCGTCAGCGCACTCAGCTGCGAGTCCAAGATAGCCTGGTCAGATCGCTCGCTGGAAGGCCCTGCACCCAAGCTTGGCAGTGAGTCCCGCGACCTCATCCATGAGATCCGGAACTTCTCCTTAGCGCAAGGCTGCGCAACGCACAGCAAAGCAACAGTCCACTAGCCCATCATACTGTAGCTAGCCTTGCCTGAAAGACTCACAGTCTGCATATCTGGATACAGCCCGAGTTGAAAGATACCCGCCTCCAAACTAAACGGGATAAGTACAAGGAGAGCCACGAGGAGTTCTTGCCATTGCTCTGGCCTCGCTGCCGGATCCGCAATGTCAGACCAACACAACATTCGTTCAAAACATTGCATTTTTTGGACTTTCCGGGCCGTGAGCCTCAAGCACCTCCTGCAGCACGTGTTTGTCCTTCCTCGCATGAAGAACACCTTGAATTCCTTCTACCTTGTGTGCAGCACAGCACGCACGGGTAAGAGGAAATCAAAAGGGCAACACAGACAGCGCATAGTCGCCCCCGTCACAGAAGCTGCCAAAATCACGAGGCCTCACAAAAACTGCCGCGTTGCCAGGCGGACGCCTTCTTCTTCACCCAGCTTGCCCAGGCGCTGCGTTACTTCCAGAATGTAGTCTGGACCTATATGCCAAACCTGATGCGGATCGTTGGTATAATTCAGTAGGGCCTCCACCTCTTGCTTCCACTTGTCGAATACACGATCCTTCGGAGTCTTCGGTGGCACACGCTTGGCTGTAGTTGAAAGGGCACACAAGATCTGGACTGCATCCGCTGGTAGATAACTCTGGCCGAACTCATCCAACCAGAGGATCGAAAACTCGGAGAAGGCCTGCTACAGCGCATTTATGGATCAACATGCTGAAACTGGTCGAGCAGTCAATACCTTGTGCATGCATGCTTGTTCTCTTGCAGTGCGGACATCTTCCTTACGGAGAACGTGCTGCAATGAACACCCAAGAAGCCCCGCCTTGACCATAACTTGTCTCTGGACGCCGGAACCAAACCGCAGTACAGAAGCTCGGACGCCCTTGGCAAACGACACCTGAGAAAGCTCGTCGGGATTTGTTCTGATGCGCGGCACCCACAGACGAACTAGAAGGCATCGAGGGGGCAAAGATAAAGAGTCTCCCTATCATGCAACCCACTTCATTCAGCCTCAGACGGTCGAAATGTATAGATGCTGACGTTCCCCATGTCAGCTTCTCAAATCCAAAGAAATCCGCGAAACGAGATCGCCGTGCAAGCCTCAAGCCCCTGAACTCTGAAGCATCCTGAAGACTCGACCCCGCAGCCCAAACTGCCCGGAATTGAACACGAAAGCTCGGGCTGACAAAAGCTCCACAGAGAGAAACAATCGGGGGAGGGGTAGCCCGTGGTCTTGCTTGGGTTTCCTTTCCCCGCGTGGTGCCTGCCTCTGGCGCCAAACTTTAGTCTGGGCGTTATGTTTGCTCCAGGCCGCCAAGCAATGTTGAAATCGTGGCTAACTCGTCGCATGCTGTGCATGTTGTAAGTGCATTGGATTGGCAGAAGAAAGCCAACCTGCAAAATCAAGGTCGCAGCTATTTGTCAGCGGCAGTGTTATCCAAAGCACGATTGTTGCTACATCTTGTGGATGGTGCCTTTATCGCTGTGGCATAACCTTCGCTCTGGTGCGGTTTCCCCCGTGCAGAAGCATACGCTGTCCTGCGGATCACTGCGTTGACATC